ATATGCTTTATACAGAGGCAAGAGGAAAAGAAAAAATACCATCGAAAGACAGTAAGTTCCCCTCAGACATACATTCATATGAACTCCTACCCCGAATTGAATTGCGATTTGTTTAGCATCTCAACCGATTTGAATCGTCACATATTTAAATCGATTTTCAACCGGCTCGCGGTTAATCGTTACATCCCTAGTCTTCAGTGTCACTTGATCATTCATGTATTATTGTATCATGCTGTTTTCCCACTCAAGAAACATTTCTTATTATTATTATCAATGTTAAAAACAGTTAATATTTTAGTGAAAACCTTGATACATTTATTTCAGCAATGTTTCATTAATATAAAGTTAAAAAAAACAGCATTTATTTAATATAAAGTTTAAAAAAAACAGCATTTATTTAAAATCAACATTATTAGTGTCTTTATTGTCACTTTTGATTAATTTAATGTATCCTTACTGAATAAAAGTATTAATTTCTTTAAAAAAAAACAACTTGAGCAGTAGTGTATCTGCTAAAGGTTAATTTCGCCACCTTTAAAAATTATTATTATTATTATTTACGATTTATTTTTGGTCTTTTTGCATTTATTTTGATAGGAAAGTAAGTACTGACAGGAAGCGAAATTGGAGAGAAAGAGAGGGACGGGGTCGGAAAGGTCCACGAGCTGGGATTCGAACTCGGGACACCCATAGTGCAACAGTTATATGTTGGCGTGCTGCCACGAGGCTATCGGCACTGACTTAAAGGGGTCCTATTATGCTCCTTTACAAGTCTCGATTTTGTTTTGGGGGTGTACTAGAACAGGCTCTCATACTAGGTTGTTCGAAAAACACATTATTTTTCACACAGTTTACACTATTGCAATACCTCTCTTCCCAGTCTGGCATGAACGGCTCGAATATTTCCTGTATCAAATGAAGGCCCGCCTTCTGAAATACGAAATGTGCTGTGATTGGTTAGCTGGGCCAGTGTGTGTTGTGATTGGCTCCACTCGGCGCCTGGTCGGGAAATGTCACGCCCCTTACCATAGCCGCCTGCAAGCTTCAGTGAAAATATTGCGTCAAAATCAAATAAATTTGAGCACGATTTAAACCAGGATGATTGTAACCACTCTAAGTTCATCTGCCTTGGGAAAGCTAGATAACATAGTGATAACACTCGTGGCCTTCTCTAGTGCAGCTCAACCATGAAGATGCTGGATGTGGAGGTCCTGGGCTGATGTGGTTACACGTGGTAGAATATGAAGAATATGAAGAAACATCAAAAAATTTCAACAAACATCATATTTGTCTTTCTCTGCTGTTATTCTCAATGTCTGTCACCAAGTTGTCTCTCACTGAAGCTGTTATGATGCTGTGCCTCACAGAGTCATGGGAAGGATCTTCCTCGCCTCATGAAGAGAAAAGAAACCTGCGTCTGAAAGTAGTCCACACACCCCAGTGTCAGCACTCAAGAGACCAAACTGCACTAGTTCTGAATACCTCTGCTCAATGTCAAAGATATGTGCTCCTTCATGCGGTAACATGGAGCAAATTTAAGGAAATTCATATTCCAGGCCGCAATAGTGTAACAGGTGTTTTATACGCTTTATTTGGAGAGGTAGTGATTTATTGGGATGTGGGAGGTTTAACAGTATATTTCACTTACCTTCGTATGTTCCACTTTCTAACAAAGCCCCACTTTTCTCTAATTCCATAAACCGCTCAACGCTCACAAAGTTGTAGTCCACACCTGGGACCTCCCCCTCTTTGGGCTGTCTCGTTGTGCCTGCAGACAAAACAAAAAAAACACATATCATGTCTGTCAGAATATTTAAGCTATACACAAGACTAAGTAAAATACAGCCTCACAGAAATGTACTGTCAAAGTATCACAGTAAGTTATGATACAATTGATTCACAAGGTAAAAGCCTAATAATTATTTGCAAGACATAAAATACAATAAAAATTTAATTTAAGTTGAAGCATATTTCACAATTATAAAATATATTTATTCAGAGATACACAGTAATAAACAGCAATATTTATCTACATATTTTAACTAAAACATCTTAAAAAAAAAAAAAAAGCATTTTGATTTTGAATTTGAATCAGATCCACTGAAATGGACAGCTGGAGTTTATTCGCAGAAATAACTCAGTTTAAGGGGGAAAAACACACACACATATATAGCCAGAATGGTGTGATTTTTTTTTTTTTTTTTTTTGAGGGAAAAATTAATAGATTTATTCAGAATTAAATTTATGAAAAGTGCCAGTTAATACATTTATAATGTTACATAAGATTTCCATTTCAAATAAATGCAGGTTTTTGAACTTTATATTAAATACCTTCCACAAAACTATTAATAAACGCAACCAATTTCAACATTAATAAAAAAAAATGTTTCTTAAGCACCAAATCAGCATATTGATTTCTGAAGGATCATGTGACACTGAAGTCTGGAGTAATGATGCTGAAAATTCAGCTTTGCATCACAGGAATAAATAAAAATGGTCTGGTATTTTCTGGAGCAGCATTTAAAACCAAATAAGGACAAACAGTCACTTAAAAAAACACTAAGCAATAAAGTAACTGTGAAAACTCGCAAAGTGTCGTTTTCAAGTTCCATATTGACTGTTTATGTAAATTGGGTGCATAATTAATGCATTAACTGAGGCTGAGTCTTCTGAGGGTAATCAAACATTCTTAAGAAATCAGGCAATGGGGATTTGCAAGATGCATACTTAGCAACGATATCATAATCCAGTCCCTTAAACTCTCAACCAAATCATCTCTGATTTCTCAAAACTTTTAGTCTGGAAAAAAAATCATCCAGCTTTTGGCTTGTGAACTTCCCAGCAAGAGAAAGAGTCCATCCCTGCTGTTTGCTTTTGCAGGTTGGCTTTAATGACATTCTATCATGACCAATAATCAGGCGTGAAACAGACATTTATTATTGAATACCGAGGGGAAAATACTTGAGCATGTGAACCATAAAAATATGAAGCTGACTAAATCAAAAAGTCAATTCAAGTTTCTGTGAAAAATGACAGTGCATTTGAAATGAGGGTACTTTTATTTAATTTAGCATTCTTATTAATTCTGGCAATTCAAAGGACAATTTAAGATTAATCAGGCGGGTAATTAATAGCGAGATTTGATTTGACTTCACAGAGTGAGCACAGATGTAACGGATGGGTCATCGGATGAGGCTAATGATCTTAATCAATAATAGCAGTCAGCTTGCAACCAAGGAGACATAAAATGAATATGAAATGCCACTGAGAAAATCAGAAACATTGAGAATCAAATATATTATGAAGGAAAAATAAAAATGATATATATATATATATATATATATATATATGCTGTACATATATATAAATTGAAAATTCTGTCATTAATTAGTCACCCTCATGTCGTTCTAAACCCTTAAGACCTTCGTTCATCTTCGGAACACAAATTAAGATATTTGTGTGATGAAATCCGAGAACTTTCTGACCCTCCATAGACAGCAACGCAACTACCACATTCAAGACCCAGAAAGGTAGTAATAGACATCAGTGGTTCAACCTTAATTTTATAAAGCTACGAGAATACTTTTTCTGTACTAAAAAAACAAAAATAACAACTTTATTCAACAGTTTCTTTCATTCCATGTTAGTATTCGACACACGTTCACGAGTTGAACCACTGATGTCACATGGACTATTTTAACAATGCCCTTACTACCTTTCTGGGTCTTGAACGTGGTAGTTGCGTTGCTGTCTATGCAGGGTCAGAAAGCTCTCAGATTTCATCAAAAATATCTTCATTTGTGTTTCGAAGATGAACCAAGGCCTTATGGATTTGGAACGACACGAAGGTGAGTAATTAATGACAGAATTGTCATTTTTGGGTGAACTGTCCCTTTAAGAAAACTATCAGTGAGCCGCTAGCAATGAATATAACAGAACAGCAGAGATTCAGTCAGTCATACAGGAGCTGAACTGTCTGTGGATAAAGCATTCTCATTCACATATGGAACCAACAATAGTCCAGTCTACCTTTCTGGGTCTTGAACGTGGTAGTTGCGTTGCTGTCTATGCAGGGTCAGAAAGCTCTCAGATTTCATCAAAAATATCTTCATTTGTGTTTCGAAGATGAACCAAGGCCTTATGGATTTGGAACGACACGAAGGTGAGTAATTAATGACAGAATTGTCATTTTTGGGTGAACTGTCCCTTTAAGAAAACTATCAGTGAGCCGCTAGCAATGAATATAACAGAACAGCAGAGATTCAGTCAGTCATACAGGAGCTGAACTGTCTGTGGATAAAGCATTCTCATTCACATATGGAACCAACAATAGTCCAGTCAGACATCATTCTGGCTGTTATTGTCATACAATTGCTAAACTGACACCATCACAATGAATCAAACTGTCTGAGATAAACTTCCTACATGCCCAGACATCATTTTCATTATAATTTCCATAATATTCCCAGTCATAAATAGAATATGGACACATTCAACAAAATAAAACACTTTTTAACAGCAAATAAGCTATAGCATTTATTTTGAGCACTATAAGGAGTTTCTGGACACATTTTCAGCTGGTCAAGATGGCAGACCAGCTGACCAACCAGTTAAACCCACTAAACACCTGCTTGGAGACTAGATACACCTAAACTCAGGATCAGGAACTGACACGAGCCAGATTTGAACTCATAACACCCGCACAAGCAGCATATGCTGTACCCGCTGGGCCATGTCTCCAACTAAAGCAGATTTAAAAAATCAGTCCCAACAGATTTTTAGCTTCTACATTATTTGCTTATATAATATGGAAAGCTTTCAAGCCAGTGCTGATAAAAGCTTTTGCCTATATCTATCTGTTTTTTCAGGACACACTTAAATAACACTTTTTCACTATAAAGTCAAGGAGCTCATTTCAGATTCAGAAGGCAGATATGCATTACCTCAGATCTGGAAATCAAAGGTTGGAGTGTATTTCTGGACTAGTGTGAAGTCTTTGAACAGGAAAAGTCCATTTTGCTTTTAGGGCTAAAATGACAGACCATATGTGTTGTTTTGAGAGGTGAAGGTACTGCTGAATTATGAAAGTAAGACAAAACTAATATTTTTACTAAGTGAGAGAGAGACTGGGAATGAGAGACGAGTGCATTACACACAGCTTATGTAATATGCAGACAGCAATGGCACATTGTGGTCTAAAACATTTAAATATTCAAGGATATTCACCTGAACATCATTTCACCAGCGATGAGCCTAAATATAGTAGCTGTGAATCCTTTTACAAATTCAGTGGCTCCCCCGAGATGACGGCCTAATGCCGAGAAGATATTTTGTGCATAAGCTGTACAAAGCAACAGGCCTTCTTTGAACTGTCAATTATTCTAGCATGTTAATATTAGTGCAATACAAATAATAATTAAAAGTAACCATCTAACAGCTGTATCTGTACTGTAGCACTGCACTGAAAACAACCTTAGTAACCACATAGCAATACCCTGGTAACATTTACAACACCCCAGCACTGATGGCAAAGTTTACATAGGGAAGCACAACTATTTTTTAAGAAAATAAATAAATAGAAATAAATATATAAACATAGAACAATAGATAGATAGAACGACAGACAGACAGACAGATAGATAGATAGATAGATAGATAGATAGATAGATAGATAGATAGAACGACAGACAGACAGACAGACAGACAGACGACTGACCGACAGACAGACAAATAGACAGATAGAATGACAGACAAACAGACAGATAGAATGACAAACAGACAGATAGAATGACAGACAGACAGACAGAGAATGACAGACAGACAGACAGACAGACAGACACAAGTTGCTTTAGCTCAATCTTGGTTTCTCTTGTTTTTAGCATTCAATGCTAACAGCTAAACAAACATAATTTAGAATTTGTTTCTAACATTAAATCACCACCATTCCTAAATTCATCCCATATGTATTTATCCATCTGTGTCATTACAGATTTGTGTGGATCATCTCAGAGATGTAAAGGCCTCTATGGAGGAGTGATTTCAGTGTTCCGACAACACACTTTTACAGTGCATGTCCAGGGAAACATAATGCGCTGACAAAGGCAATTCAAATGCGCAAATGCCTGCATCTGTATGCTGACAAAGGGCTAAACATGACACAGAGGAAATTACACGGAAGCTTTGCTGATATTCATATGCATCATGAATATTTATATCTTAATAATCAAATGGAAATACTGTACAGTTTTCTCCTTAAGTATTTGGGGTGGGATCTCTTTCTTTTGGAGAACAAATCTTGTGATTTAATCAAATCTTATTAATTTACAACATTCAGAGAAGATTATGCAAACAATACGTATTTAATGGCAAGATTTAACAGCAATGACATAAACAATAAATCAATACACTTTCATTTACACAACCCCTTAACTGTCACCGTACTGTCACCGTCCCACCTGTTATTTTGTTGTCCTTTTTCTCTATCAAATATTTTAGTAATTATCATAAATTAAATATCGTTTGAAAGCATAGAAGCCCAAGATTCATCCTGTGAAAACCATTTTGAAATCAGACATTGCGTTACCATGGAAATGGTACTTTAAAATCTTTTGGCGTCTCCTCCCGTTGCGGGTGGTGTCAAGTGTCATGTTACAAAATGCATTACGGTCTTTTACAATCAAAACTTTTTATAATCTTGACATAAAACATATCATTGGAAAGGTCTGAGTCTCAGGATTCCATATTTGTTGGTTGTGGTAGAAGTAATAT